GAGGACATCGTCGAGAGCAACGGTCGAACCGTCAGATGGGGGTTCAGGAAACGGCAGCCAATGCACTGCACTCGGTCGACATGCCACTGTTGCATATGGGAGGAAAAATGAAGAGAAGTAGATCCAGCTCACAAGCAGCCCCTAGGTCCCTCGCAGTAAATGGCCAATCACCAATTGAGAAAAAAGATAATTTGTTTTATTTGGGGCGCGTAAACCAAACGCAATTGCGAGTGGCACGCGTAGACGGATTGTTAGGAGTTGTCAGGTATTACGTTAATCACGCTAATCTCCGGTTGTTTTTAACCTGTCTTGTCATGGGATCATGATGAGCTTACAGAGACTATGACAAGGTAGAGGCTTCGAAAGTCCACCGCACTGCAAACAACTGTATGCGCGAACCACGGCTGCATTAAACGCAGGGAGCAAGTAGATCCAATGATTGTATCCACCAATCCTCGCGAAGCCTTCCTCGTGACAAATCAATGTACTCCTTATTATAACCAATCAGACACGCACGCATTAAAAGTCATGACTCTGCTGCTGACAGGATAACTCAAGCAATGACAAATTATAATCGGTTTCTTATGCGCTAGAGCCGTGGTAACAGGAATATGCATAGCCATAACGGACTGCCTCTACAGACCGTATATCAAAAGTTGCAAAGGGCCCCATTACCGCCAAACACCGGAGGTAGTTGTTACCAACATTCTGACTATACTCCAGGGTGCAGTGGACGTACGAAGAAGTGGGGCACGAAATCAAGGATGAGGGGTTTCCAAATGGGCCAGTAACTCTGCAGTACAGGAATGATAAGCATTCTGTTTTGAATTTTAGGAGTACTGTCAAAACACGGTGCTCTACAACTAGCCCCTGATTACACACTGTTACAGAAAGGCGACCAAGAATAGCGAAATTATTATCTGTTGCAATGTGTTCGTGAAATCTACCGGAAGCATTTAATATGCTGTCAAACGGAGAAGAAGGTAACCTCTTCGGGAGTTTAGTTGGCTGTACGCGCTTCGATTCACCGAGTACGTTTGGAG